AAAAAAAAATAACAAAGTTTAAATGCATTATCTACCGCAGGCAAAAAGTCCTTGTGTTCAATATATTTCTTTAGCTTCTTGAGCACATCCTCCTTGATGTGTTCCTTGTCGTACTCAAACAGCCGCTTCAGAAAATTCACATCAGCCATTATACGTTTAGCTGAGGCCCAATCGGTTCTAAAAATATAAATTTAAACTCATTACACATAAACGCCCACTTCTCGGTGAACTGCGTTTCATACTTAGAGCCCATCAAAATGCACACCGCTTCCATGGTGAACTGTACCAGTGCGGGTGGCGTGGTGAAGGATTTCAACTCATTGATGTCTGCTTTCGTTAAGCCATTCAATGCTGCGTCTGCTTCGCGTAGAGCTGGCATAGCGATTTCCAAATCTTTGTTAGCATCATCAGATATCACTTGGCAGACGGCAGCCTTCTCCTTAGCCACAGTTTCATCGCGCAATACGCCCTCTTTCACCTGATCCGCTTGTTTGGTATCGGCGTTGAGACGATCCACCAATTGTTTCATAATCGCCGACTTTTCATCCAGTTGTGGTACCATAATTTCTAATTCTTTTTGCATGACAGCGATCTATAAGGAATGAGTGAAATATGTAGGTGGCATAGAGGCAGAAAGAGGGAAGTGTGAGAAAGTGAGAGTGTGAGTGAGAAATAGGCAGTAGAAAGGGACTTACAACATCGTTGGTCTCCAGTATTTTATTCAAGCCATTAGAAATACGTTTTCGTTTGGCGATTATCTCATCGGATTTAACCTTTAATAAGTTCTTGATACAGTTTAAGCAGTTCCAAATAGCTGCTAGGTGTGGTATAGTAATGCCGTTTCATTTCTTTGTAATAGCGTACTGATGCCTCTTCGACGGTCTATGAAAAAAAGATATAAGTAAGAAGAAAATATGTGTCAAAAGCTGGTCAAGAGAAGAAGGGAAATGACCTAAGATTTACTGCTAAATAGATAGTTTGCTATTGAAAAATTGTAGTACAAAGCATGAAGCCAACCCCCTTTGCAGGTCTAGCACTTTTACACGTACACTTAGATATTGAAATTGACACTGAACGGTTAATAGAAAGATTCGCAAAAGGAAAGCGCAAAATTGAATTTGAAATTCAAACTATTACAATAAAAATTCCGAATAAGGTGTTAAGTTACTTAATTACATCCTACATGGGCGTAATGTGTCCACTGAGCTGGATGTTGCTGTCAAAAACTGGCTACATATTTCGTCTTTTAAACCTTCCGTTACCGCTGACGATGTTATTTCCTATGTTGCCAAACATTTTGGTATAGAAAATAAACATATCTCTTGCTTCATATTGGTCAAAAAAGGTATTTCTGTTACCGATTTGGATAGTGTCAACTTTAAACTTGGCGTTTCTTCTAGTTTTTACAATACGCTCTTAGATGCAAATTTGTGGCCATTAGGTATAAATGTTCGGCCCTTTCGTTTTTTCCAGAAAGATGTGCAGTAAAGGTTTCTTAAATACTATGAGATTTAGTTCTAAGGAAAGTAGAAATTCGTTGAGTATTTATTACCAAAACATCTCGGGAATGCGTACAAAAACCAAAGATGTATTCCTAAACACTTCTCGCTGTGAATATGATGTTTTTGTTATTGCTGAAACGTGGTTAAATAATAATTTTTCGGATGAGGAATTCTTTGATCCCAATCTTTTCTTTATATATCGTAAAGATAGAGATTCAACTAAAACAAATTGCTTAAGAGGTGGAGGGGTTTTAATCGCAGTTAATCGTAACTTTCGCTCATCTATTGTTCCCCTTGAAAATAATGACTCTATTCTTGATCAGCTCTGCGTATGTATCTATGGAAACCTTGGTAATTTATTTGTTTGTGTTTCTTATATCCCACCAGCTAGCTCGGAGTCTTTATACGCTGTCCATGTAAGTAACATTTTACACCTATATCAAAATAATGTGAACTGTCACTTTTGTATATTAGGTGACTTTAATCTTAATAAAATCAAATGGTCAAATTTTCAAAATAATGGCATTTTAACCCCAACAAATATCAATAGTGGCCATGAAATTAACTTTATAGACAGTCTTCTTAGCATTAATCTCATTCAAATTAATTCATTTTTTAATAAGCTTAATAACATCCTAGATCTCATTTTTGTTGATGAGAATTTAATCTTCCAATTGGAAGAATGTACCTTTCCTATCTGCAAGTCTGATATGCATCATGTCCCATTGTCCCTTACCCTAGAGTTTCTTATCTTTATCTCTGCCTCAAACCACAATGAGATAAAACGTTTTAATTTTCGTGATGCTGACTTTGATTCTTTAAATTCAAATATTCTCGCAATAGACTGGAAATCAGCTTTCCTTTCTTAAAATGTATCGGATTGTTATGAAATTTTCCTACTCAAAATCAACCAACTATTTTCTAATTGCCTATCTTGCCTTCCATCGCGAATTCACAAGCTTCCGTGGTATACGCTCGCTGACGTTAGTCCACTTCTTCTGTTCAATCAGTGAAGCCAATAGTTCGCACAGCAACTGAACCTTGGCGCTGGTCACTTGATGTATCATGTAAGCACCATGTTTGAGCGCCAGCTTCAATTGTTCGCTGAAATACTTGATGAAGAGTTGATAGAGAAATTCCATTTGTTCAGCGGTTAACTTCTTCTCGATGTCGCTAGTCTTCCACGAATCGACCAATGGCAGCCAACCCATATCTTCGGGATCGACATAAACCATACCACAGCGGGAGACAGTGGCCGGTGAGGCTTGTGCTAAGTCTTGCACTTCGAAAACCATATGCACCCAAGCGGTTAATTTGATGCGTTCGGAATTCGCCAGACACAACATTTTATTGTCATCCAAGACGGTATTCAAATTTTCGATCCAAATGGCGTCCACGGGACCATCACAAATTATCCACTGGTGTATTTCCTCTATTGATAAAATCTAATAATATCCAACTTATTCTTTAAATGAAAGTTGCTAACGTGTACCTTCCACATTCACCGCAGTACGCACAGCTAAGCCCAGTAGGCCATCTTGCCATTCGAGCGTTTTCAAATCCACATAACCGTATAGCTCATTTATGTGCACTGCTTTCGGATTCATTGTCTGCATCGTAACTGGCCGAAAGTTTGGACCGGGCACGTCTTTCTCATACAAATAACCCAAGGCGAAAGCAAGGTTATGCAGCACCGTCGTCTTACCGCCACCTGTCGGTCCCACCAGCATTACACCCCAACGCACACACATCGTCTCGTACAATTGTATGCCCTTGCGCAGGGTAATTGCTACCGGTTGTAAATTTTTCAGCTTCAAACCTTCAATCATACCCTCCTCCAAGCTGGGATGAGATGAATCTGGTAGCTCGACGCCGGGAAACAAATCGCTAAGTATACCACGAAACAGACCGGCATCATCGGCCAAAAACTTCGGTATGTTGGAGTCGCGTAGCGCTGCGATTAGCGTAATATCCTCGCGTTGATCGGGTGCGGCACGCTTCAGAGCGCCAGCCATAACCAGCACCGACTTGACGGCGCGCATGCCGAAATCATAGTGATTCTGTTGACTGAGCTGTTCGCTGCATAATTTGTACATCTGTACCATTTTGTGAGCCAGAATTTTAGGATTTTCAAAACCCTCCGAGTAGAGGATGACTTCAGAGATGAGTGCGTAATCGGGTACCATCATAGACATGGGTCGGAAGAGGGCCTTTAGATTGTCGGGCAACTCTGTGCGTCCAGCATAACCGGGATTCATTGTGATGAAAACGGCACAAGATTTATTCAGTTTAATTTCGCGGCCCTCAAATATGAAGCTGTAATAAACGCAAACAGATTTTATGGTGTAACCAACAAATGCACAACAACAACAACAACAACAGATGCAATTCCTACCGTTTCGCATTTATGACCTTTGCATTTCGAATAGTGATCAATTGTTGCGCAATGACGGATAAAACTTCGATATCGATACGATTGAACTCGTCAAAACAGCACCATGCGCCACACTGTGCTAGGCCAGAGAAGAAGCGACCCATCATTTTATAGTCCAAGCCCTCCGAACAATTGAAGACGACGCATTGCTTGGCTACGGCTTTCGCTAAATCCTTGGTGGTCTCGGTTTTACCCGTACCAGCTGGGCCGGCTGGTGCGCCACCTAGATCCATTTGCAAGGCGCCCATCAGACAGAGATAGCAACGATCTGTGAGTGGCGTCAATACCAGCACACCGCCTGCGCCTAAGTACTCGTAGTAGTAGGGTATGTTGGCGGATGCCATGCGTGTATAGACAGTATCCGTGTCGTAGGCCCAGTAGAAGCGTAACATTTTTAGCCAATTGAAGTCAGTGCTGGAAATAGTAAACAAATTAAGAATGAGCTTAGAGAGTTTGAATTTTACATTCGAAAATAGTTAACACATACTTTTTTGTCACTTCTTTCTCGAGTAATAATGTGACTGAGTCCTTAGCATGCACATCGATAGTTATAAGCGCACAAAGTATTTTCCGCAACAGCGAAGAGATATCCCTTCGTGTCATAGCCGCTAAGGCAGCTAAATTTTTGTAACACTTTTTCTCAAACTCTTTCAATTTGGTAATCTTAATGGCTGAACCGATTTTATTATTGTCCAATATCATGTGAATATCGGCGGCCCATCGTTGCTGCGACACTGTTAGCACTACTTGATTCGGATGATCTAGTGTGTGAGCGAATTTTAATTAAACAAATTTAAGTTATAAAAAAGTTAAATTCGCATCATCCGCATACCCTGAAACCATTCATCACGCTCCTTAGCCGGATAGCACTGATAACCGAAGCGCATGTATCGCTTCACAGCAATAAACATTGCCTCCTCGACTTTGCTCAACCACTCTTCGACTGCGCCACGCGCCTTTAGACCCTTACCGAACTGCAACTTTTCACCTTCAGGTGAGATGAAGGCTATGATGTCGTTTGTGGGTATCATTTTGCCACCATCACCACTTTCCTTCTGTCCAAATTCCAGTCGATAGATAGCGTCGAAGCACTTGCGCAAGTGTGGCTGTACCGCCTGAGGGACACGTGTTTGCGCCAAAATCTCGAGCAGTTCATCATTGGACAAGAAATAGAATCTAATAGGAGGAAACAAATACAATAATTCCCTATGAAAATCAAGTAGTAGATTAACTTACCTAGGAAAAACTACACGTTTCACCTCGAGATAAGCCTCTAGACCGCGGCTAATCAAATCTAGCAAGCGATTATTTTCATTGAGCGCATCGAACGTATTGCGCTCAGTCATAACTGGCAAAGCTAGTGAAATCTTCTTTGCGTTGCGCATAATGTTTTTGAAACTCTTGTCGACGGTGAAGAACATTTTTGCCTCTTGCGGTAGCTGACGCTGTATATCGGGCGAAGAGAAGATAGCTTCCAAATATATCCACGTTGTCTGGCAATTTAACCAAACCTCTGTGCGTTTGAAGATATGCGAAATAGGAAAGCGTTAGAGTAAGATCATATTGGGTTGGAAAGTGATGTGTTCACAAATATTTTAGAAGAGTAATAAAGGTAGTATTGTGGAGATGACTGCATTGACCGCTTGATTCTTTTGATACTCAACAGGGATACAAATAATCTTTACCCAAAGGGCATGAGAAACGCATCGGATTTGAAAGTGTTGCTTGTAATATGCGTACGGTGTTTTCACTTTTACAATTTGCCAATGCAGACTTCTTTTGACTTGTAATGTTTCAATAATTGTGTAAAACTACGCGGAAATATTAACGTACAAACAGTTAAATTGGAAATGTTTAGTTATTTATCCATTGTTTTTGGGTTAGTGGGCGGAGCGGGATGGGGCGTGGGTCTTGATATCTAACCCACTAGAAAGAGCACAGTTTACACTTTGAAACACACCTAATCCCTCGAAACCTCGAAACCTTCCACATACCCTTGGGGAACCATTGGAAAATGGTACAAAATTAGAATTTTGACACTGGAAATGTTAACTCAATAAACAGTATTTTTGTGCAGAACACTAAAGGTATTAAGCACACAGCACAGTAAATCGTTATTTGGTTTTCCTCAATTGCACCAAGGTGACGTCACGCTCACAGCTGATTCTGTCAAATTCACAAAGAGCGGATTAGCGGTACTGCGATAGGCGAAATCTCTATTTCTCTCAATCGTGTATTATATATGTATGAGTGTGTTGTCACCGCTCTGCATCCTGGGGATGCGTATGTACACTCACATATGCATACTAAGATGTGAACAGTCAAATACGTGCGTAATAAATTTTTGTATGAAAACATTACTTTTAAATACGAACATTTTTAAACGATAATCAAATATAAAGTATTCATTTTTACTATGCATTATTTTCCTCACTGTACTAAATGAAGTAACTTGACTAGAAAAGTATGCAAATATTTTACCTAACATTTCATTGAACAGCTCCAATTGTTCAATCCACTCCTGCACTTTCGACTTAATGGGCTCAACGAACTTCGATGCTGCAACTGTATTGATATTCACAGTTGAATCATCCAAAATTACTTGTAATTCCTCCGTGCCAGCCAATATAAAGACATCTTTTTGATCGTGATGATTCACGATCGTCAATTCGGTTTCCTTCCATATATTTTCAATATTCTTTAACATTACTTCGAGCTGTGATTCGCCTGTGGCTTGTGATGAAATCTCCATCAGCTGTGCCGCTTTCTCTGGTTCCATTGCGCCAGCTGTCTCGTAGGTGGATATGCGTATGCCCTCCTCTTGGTAAACGCGTATATTCAGCGTACTCTCGATATGGGTCCAGTGACGCTAAGCACAGTAAATAGAGTGAAAAAATACATTTTTTTTTTTGTTTGCAAGTTACTAGAATCATAATCTTACATACCGCCTTGAAATGCGGATTGCGCAGGAATCCAATAACAGGTAGCTTTGCTCTAAATTCATCGGCGGACGATTTCATTTTCGGTACGATGTTATTTTCTGGTAGATATTTCTCAAATTGCAGGCAATTTTTGATTATTTTCATGTTCAGATTATTCATTTCTTCTACATTCAATTGATTGAATTCCATGTTGACCCAACTATCCAAAGCTGCATCCCATTCATCCAGCGATTGCCAAAGATTATTGCGCATTCTTATCTCAAGGAATGTATCATCCATTTCAAGGAATTGTGAAATGTCAATCTGCAATTAGTATTCGTCTTTCAGTTGCAGCTGCTCTCTTCATTTAAGTTTCCAAAACTCCCAAAATACATACCTTGAATTCCTTTTGATAGCCAATGTATTCTTCCACGCGTTCCTTGCAAGCGCTGAGTCGCTGATTCAAGTCATCCAGTATGCCTTTGGCTTTTTTGCTGCCTGTATTTATCTATATGTATGTAAACGGAGTAGCTTTAGTACCGAAATTTTAACAGTTATCTCAGCTACTTACATCCAATAATTCGGAAATTTGCACACCAAGCGCTATGTCGTGTATTTCCTCTCTCAATACGTCGATATCTGCCAGCATGCGCTGATTTAATTGGTTTATGAAATCCGGACGTCTTGCCTGTGTTTCTTTCAGTAGCTCGCTACCCCGGTTTACCAAATCTTCACAATCCATGTAGTCTTCATGCCGCTCGTCATCGCATGGTATCTCGAATTCTTTAATTATCATATATAGATCGTGCGCATAATCAACCGCTTCGAAAAGTTTATTTAAATTTTCATCGATACGTTCCAGCTCTCGTATGTGCTCGACAATTTCCAAAGTAGTTTCTGGTTCTGCACTAATGATGCCAATAAAATCGTGCGCTTCTTGTGTGATGCGATCCACCTCTTCGGCAGCTAGTCTGTAATGGATTAGAGATTCGTAAAGGAGTTTTAGAAAAGAAACATGTAAGGTTGAGGAAAATGCTGCAAACTGTGATTAAAAACCAAAAAATGGAAAATCGCGAAAACGAAAAACTTTTTTATATCGTCATCAGATGCCGAATTCTACAGCCGATGCCGAGTTATATAGGTACAGATTAGATGATGAACAATTTCTTCTTACTTCTCATTCATCTACTTTGTATAGCTTTCCGCAGGCCACAACTTAGGGTAGTGCCCACGGTTGCCATTTTGGGTGAAATGTGCCATGTTTGGTACATTTTTTCCAGTTTGGTACACTGGTACATAACTTTCAGATCTAGTACTTTTTTTTTTTTGATAGTACATCATACGAAAAAAAACTCAAGGCCATGTCAAGAGAGAGTATTCCTAATACTCGTGGTGGGCTGTGATGAAGCCTTAAAACTTACTGAGAAATGGTGCTTTGAAAAGGGTGTGTTAATAAAACTAAAGTCCACCATCGACCCCTTGACCAAAAGAGGGAAAGTCAGCTTAATTTAACCCTCATCGGGAATTTCAGAAATTGGTTATCGCCAGACGCGAAGTATCTAGGAATAACTTTGAACAAAAGGCTCAACTGGAAATCACATCTGAGAGATGTTAACAACAAGGCTGTCAGAGACTCACTCACACACTCAGTCACAGTGACTAAACCGATTATCACATATGCAGCACTGGCCTAGTGGCCAAAGATTAAGCAAACTGATTATGGCGTATCCGCTTAGAATCAGGAACATGACACCCTCTAAAATGCCTTACTTCTTAAATGGCCTAAGGAGGGAGTGAATTTTTATGGTACCAGCTCAGTAAATCTATATAGCTCGCTTTTTTCCTCAAATAATAATAAATAAATTTTTTGGGAATTTTTACAGAGAATTTATTTTGATAAAGTTATGTTCCAGCATTAGAAAATAGTTCACAAAATACTCGAAAAATAAATCCCATAATAACTTTTGGATAATAATTTTAAGGCTATATAAAACTTTTGAGCAACAGTTGTGAAACTCATTACCCACATTTCTTCTGGTCAGCTGCGATTCAATTTGGTAAAATCCCAACTCTAGTATTTGTAGACTCCCATTCACCATAGTCCTGAATACCTGATCTTTTTGCCTTTATATCCCTCCTTTTGCGTTAGATAAATTAGCTTGCTCTAGACAGGATTCTATTTTAAATTGAGCTAAGAGAATTCCGAAAACAATTTCTTAAGTATTTCTATGGTTGGTTGTTAGCAGTGTTGCCCGAGTATTATCCGCTGTATGCGCCATTTTGATAAATTTTTTCTGTACCCTCTGATACTATCTGCTGTCATGATTCCTTGGCATCTTTAAACCACTTGAACTTGTCGACAAATCGACCTATGCTTATGCCTTTTGCTTCGTTTGTTATATTGGTAAAAGCCTCCTCGAAGAGGTCAGGAAATGCGCAATGCTTTTCTTTTTGATCTATGGATTTCACAATTTCTTTAAGAGCCTTTGGTATGAAGGGTGTGAAACTTATTGGCCTGAAGTATTTCGATTTTTTGTGGGATTTTCTTCACGTTTATGAATTAAAACAACTTGAAACTTGAATCATTGTGGAATGTAGGGTGCCTTAAGTTCCCGGGCAACGCATTCTAGGGCAAGGTGAAAATTTTTGTACTCCGATTTTTTTTTATTCCTTCATTCTGGTTTGAGTCTAGTAACTCTTATAAGATGTACTCAAATCATGCTGATTTTTCAACTGAATTTACCTATACACAAACCATCTAACGACACACTTGGATTGGTGTCCCCTTTGAACTTAATATGCTCGGTATAGTTCAAGCTCTACAGGTTTCTATAGATGTATAGTAAGACTGCCGTCCCTGCCGCTGTTTTTATACTGTTACTTAGTTCGAGTCAGGGACCGAGAAAAAAAGGTATGATCGAAACTAAATGTCACTTTCGTAGTTTTTCTTCCAGCAACGCTTAAAACCCGAAACAAAATGAGAACCTTCGAGATTATTTTCACAAGAACCAAAGTGAGCAATAAACTGTCGAAAATGTTCTAAAGGGGAATTATATAAGAACAAAACCCTGAGGAACGTTCCCAAAGCAAATAATATGTTCAGGAACATTTTTAAAAGAACAAAATGGGAACTTAAGTTTAGGCAATATTATAATAAAGAAAAAAAAAACCGTGACAAAAGTGCAATTCCTCTTGAAGAACAATTTGAGAGCTAAAGTATCAGGAAAGTTTCAACAGAGAACGAATTGGAAGCGATTCTTCACCCCAAAACGCAGACGCCCCTCTGATTCTTAATGCTAAGCTCTCAAAACTTTGTTCTCCAGCTGAACGTTCCCCAGACCTTTGTTCTTAATTTTGTCCTCCTTGCATACGTTCTCGATACTTTCGTTCTCATTCGAAACATTCCCGAAAGTTTCCTTCTCATTCTGTTCTTTTTGGGAACATTCCCGAGAGTTTCGTTTACATTTTGTTCTCTAAGGGAACATTCTCAAACCTTTGTTCTCAATTTTTTCTCTAATTAAAACTGCCTCAATATTTTTGTTCCCGTTTGGTTTCTTTGTGGGAACAAATTACATTTTGTCCTCGTGCAGAACTAAACCAAAACCGGAGTGGGTTTGCGGTGCTTGGTTTATGTTCAAAAACATCTGCAAATCTTAAAAAAATAAATAAAAATACTAAATAAAACGCATTTTCTTCCACTCACTTTGGTATATAAGCATTCAGAACGTTCGATAGACTTTGACAAATCGGCGTGACAGTTTCTTTGAAACTTGTTTGCGTCAACTTCAATAGACCCAAATTAACCACCGACAAAATGCCATCCAATGCGCGTACGTTGTTGGTATAACGATTACAGTAAGTGCGTAGTGCCTCTAATTCTATTCAAGAAGAATAACTCTTATAAGAATGACGTAATGAACAACAAATAGCGGTTAAGGTTTACCTCGTTCTGATGTAAGCGTTTTCGGATCTGTAGTCGTATCGATCTCATAATTGTTTCGTATAGTTTCAAAACGTGCTGCATAGAGCATAGCCTTCTCGTAAGCGTTGCGTATGTAAGCGAAGATGAGTTTACTGTAAAGGGAATGACAAAAATCACTAAAAAAAAGTGTGAGGTAGTTAAGCGACGCTTACCGCTCATTCTGAAATCGTACATCCGTGCGTAGAAGGAAATTTAGATCTGGTGCGGTCATTGCTAAGCGTTCTTCTTGGCGGCCCATGATTGAAGGTCTGACATGAAGATTTGAGTGAAAGAAGAAATGGTAGAATGATGAGTGAGAGAGAGAGAGAGAAATATGAAAAGAAAGTGTGAGTTAACCATACATAGTCTCACTGAATTTTATTGAACTTACACTGTGTATTGATTGAATGTCTTGTCATCGGTAAAACTCTCCATTTCAGTAACCGTTTCCAATATCAGTGAGCAAATGCGTTGGAAAATGTATTTCAATGACTCTCTAGTAACGTGAAAAATATATTAAACATTCATAAGTACATAAATGTTTTTTTTTTTATAAATAGTTAAACCTACTCAGATGGGTCCACATCTATACGATCTGTTAGCATATATAACTCAGCAATGAAGAAGGGATTCTGTAGTGAGAAAATTTAAAGGTTTATATTGTGGTTATTCAGTTAATTTGTTTTTTTTGTGTTTAGTACCATTGGCATATTTTCCGGTCGAGGATTTTCGATTTGCACATCTACGGCTAGATTCTCCTGCAACTCCTCCTTAGTTGGCCCTACCATGTGATGCGCTTCCATTGACTCGGCCAAACGATGAAAACTGTTGGCAGTCAATTGGTGCAACATGTGGAACATCAAATTGTCACAGTAACTTAGGAAGCTGAAAATATTTTTACGGGGATTGAATTTAACGACAGATGAGAAACTTTAAGTTTGAGTCGCACATTATAGATGATCTATCTGAATATTTCTCGATATTGAGAGGATTTCAAGCGATCGCCTAGTTTATATTCACAGCGTTGGAACTGTGGTATCGAAGCATAGACATTTTATTCGTGTTAATCGTTTATCTTGCACTTACTTTGATAGCATCTTGCAAAAATTGCGTTTCTTTGCACGATCTGTAAAATTCATTGCCTCCTTCATTTTTTTAATGGATGGAAAAAAATTGATCTCGTCTGTTGGAAAGAAGCCACGCTCCACAATGGCAGAAGTGCAGGCATCAACTAAATGGGGGAAAGAGTGGAAAAGATTTTAAACTCTTTTTTTTTCTGCACTCTTTAATGCTAAGCTTAAATGCTTTATTGCAGTTATTTAAATTAAGAATTAATTTAAAACCTAATATTTTTAGTCTACTCCAGTGAAAATACTTACACAACATCTTTTTGGAACGTTCGCGAAAATCGCGCAGCGTAGCTTTCATGCGTTCATACACACGCATCTGCGTCTCCAGAAAGTAGAATGGATGCCATTCTTCAATAACTAGACATGTAAAATAGAAAGTCATTGCAAAATTTGTAAGTTGAGTTTCATGTATTCTCCACTCACCTGCAACATTAACGAACGATAGCTTGTTCAGCTGTACAATATCGGCACGAAATTGCAGAATTGCTCTGGCTAGCGGTGGTATTGCAATGAATAGGTGATCACTGAGGTAGGCGCGTGCATCGTTCTGTTTGCGCCACTTGACCGTCTTCTCCCATACCTTGAAACCCTTCCACATACGAAACACAGCAAAACTATGTATTTTAATTATGCTTAGAAATTGTTGAAACTCCTGCTGCCATTGAGTGAGCGGTGTGAAAAAGTTCTCCGACAAATGCCAATAGGTAACACCGTGACGACTCATGGTGAAGTAGTGATGTTTATTCGGTAGATCTTCATATTGAACTTCCCTGGAATATAAGAATTGTAGAATGTGCATATTCGTTATGAGTGGAATCGACCAATTTTGATTTGGATGAATTTTGTTCAGAATTTTTCTTTTATTATATAACGATGTTCTGAACTATTCGTATTATAATCATATTCATATTCATACTCATATTCTTATTCATATTCATGTTCATTTTCATATTCATATCAATACTCATATCCATATTTATATTCATATTCATATTTATATTCATATTCATATTCATATTCATATTCACATCAGTATTCATATTCAAATAGATATTTATATTCATATTCATATTAATATTCACATTCATTTTAATTTTTATATTCATATTCATACTCATATTCATATTCATATTCATATTCATANCATTCATGTTCATTTTCATATTCATATCAATACTCATATCCATATTTATATTCATATTCATATTTATATTCATATTCATATTCAAAATCATATTCACATCAGTATTCATATTCAAATAGATATTTATATTCATATTAATATTCACATTCATTTTAGTTTTTATATTCATATTCATACTCATATTCATATTCATATTCATATTCATATTCATATTCAAATACATATTCATATTCATATTCATATTCACATTAATATTCATATTCAAATACATATTTATAATATTCAAATTCATATTCATATTCATATTTATGTTCATCTTCGTATTCNTATTCATATTCACATTAATATTCATATTCAAATACATATTTATATTCATATTAATATTCAAATTCATATTCATATTCATATTTATGTTCATCTTCGTATTCATATTCATGTTTATATTCGTATTCAAACTCATATTCATATTCAAACTCATATTCGTATTCATATTCATATCCGTATTCATATTCATATTCGTGTTCATATTCATATCCATACTCATCTTCATATTCGTATCCATATTCGTATTCATATTCATATTCATATTCATGTTCATATTCAATATTCGAACTCATATTCATATTCATATTAAAACTCATATTCGTATTCATATTCATATTTAACCTCAGTNTCATATCCGTATTCATGTTCATGCTCCTATTCATATTCATATTCATATTCACATTCATGCTCATTTTCCTATCCATATTCATATTCATATTCATATTCGTGTTCATATTCATATCCATACTCATCTTCATATTCGTATCCATATTCGTATTCATATTCATATTCATATTCGTGTTCATATTCATATCCATACTCATCTTCATATTCGTATCCATATTCGTATTCATATTCATATTCATATTCATGTTCATATTCAATATTCGAACTCATATTCATATTCATATTAAAACTCATATTCGTATTCATATTCATATTTAACCTCAGTAGATTGTAATACCATATGTGCGCAACCATCGTTATATGCTAGTTTTCGCAAGCTATACTTTTTCTTCTAGTGCGGTTTAGAAATAAAAGAGACTGATGCTTTGTATTTAGACGTTTTGAAATGCACCATATATTTGAGGTGTTTAAAGGGGCTTGTCACCTGTTTAGAAATTAAAATTTAGGACATGCAATCGAAATAAGTTTGGAAAGGATTTATTTCTAATTTACATATGAATATGTAAGTGGGTTGCCACTTTTTTAAAAAGTTCAGTTTAACTCGATTTACCACTTAATTGCAATATGTACTACAACGTCAGACGAAAGTGATTTCAGAAGGTGTTAGTTTGAAAATACTTTTGAGGGGTGTTGCCACCTGTTTTCAAAGTCAAATTTAATGTAATTCATCAATTAATTGAAATATGTATCACGCTGTATGACGAAAAATATTTGATAGAGTCTCAGTTTTAAAATACTTTCGAAGAGGGTTGCCACATTTTTGAGAAGTCGAATGTAGCTAAACTATGAACATTTTATACGAAATATTGAAATATGAGTGTCAAGTAGAGAGTTTTAAGACATTTTTAGTTAGAACATTTAGAATAATTTTTAAGTGTTTTAAAGGGTTGCCTGTTTAAAAAGTTAAATTAAAATTAAAATTATAATTATTTGGGCCAAATTCTTATTTGTTATGTTTGCTGGATTAAAATTAATAAGTAATGGAATGAAATATTAAAATGGGGGCATCAATCGCAATGGGCTTGAAAAGGCTTTATTTCTAAACTATATTTCGCAGGATAGCCGACCGTTTAAAAAGTCAAATCCAACTTACGAAATTTATCAGCTAATTTCAACACCACAATGTCAGTCGTAAGAGATTTTTAGAAGCTTTTAGTTTGCAAATACTTTAGCTTGAAAGCTGTTGGAAAAGTCTAATTCAGTTAAATTATATCCAAGCTATGTATGAGAAAATTGCTATTTTTTGAACGTAATGACACGATTATTTTTTAATGCCCATCTTTGTCATAAAAATTTTTGCAATTTAATGCCCAGTGAAAATCCAGCATAAGTTTGAAAAACTTTTTGATTAGAGTTGCCACATGTGTATGCATGTACATAATACGCAGAGCGAGTTTTCGTGAAGGTCATCAAATCTGCATTATTCTTTCGAATTTCCAAAAATTAGGTGCTAAATTAAAGGGCTTGGCTTTTAGCGGCTCTGATAAGAGTTCATTCGGAGGCCACAAGGGCGCATTGCGATACCCAGGGGGGTTTCCCTATGCCTATCCCTACATATCCTTGAGCCATTTCGATTCTCTGGCGAATCCAAGCAGTCGTTCCAGTGGAGCTTTCCCTAAGGTATCAAGGCTCTCGGAGAAACGGTCCCCAAGAAATTTGAGGCATTTTCTTCGGAGTGCTGGACATTCACAAATGAAGTGCTGGACATTCACAAATGAAGTGCTGGACGGATTCTACCTGCTCCTCATCTCTACAGCTTCTACAGATATAGTTATGCGGTATTCCGAACCTGGCAGCCATGTGGCCAATGGTCCAGTGTCCCGTTAGTATTCCTGTGAGAATCTTAACGTTTGGCTTTGACAGCCTAAATAGACTCATTGTTCTTCGTTTCGTCGAGCTGTGAAAATGGGTATTTCGTCATCGCTAAGAGCAATACTAAGTTCCCAGTCACTTCTGTCTGGAAAATGGATATCGAAATTCCGATTGAAATCAGTTTCCGTGACTTGATAGTCACAGCTACTGTACTTCACCCCCATTCTCTCGAGGATTGTGGCGTGACCCGGGCAAGTTGTTCGCAGCCTGTTAGACGCCTTGAGTCGTAGAGCGCTTTTAGCTGCGGTACTTTTAACGTGTCTCTAGCGCCGCCCAGGGCGTTGACTAAGTCGCCCCGTTATGCATAAGCATGCCTGTCGTTGCACCTTTTGCAGATTAAGTAGATGGGTTTTGGTGTCCACCGCCTGCCACCATACCAGCGCTCCATAAGTGAGAATGTGTCTAATGTGTCTTTCCCGATCGTAGCCTTACAGGAGTAGAGCGCAATGAGCGCCTTTTTTCTGCGCTCTTCGGTATTCCTTTTCCAGGAAAGCTTAGAGTCAAGAATAACCCCCAAAAACTTCGCTTCTTTTGGCAATTCCCGGCTTGCTCCATTGAGGGACGGAGTTTGAAATTTGTCTACTTTATAACGCTTGGTGAACAGAACAAGTTCGGTTTTGGAGGGGTTAAACCCTAGACGGTTTCTTCCTGCCCACCCCGGAAGGTCGTTAATTGCAGACTGTAGAATCTCGCTGACCGTGGAGAGGAATTTCCCCACGACCAAAATGACTAAGTCATCCGCATAGGCAACGACCTTGACGGCTTTCGATATGCGGAGCAAGAATTCGTTAAGCACGAGATTCCACATCAGGGGCGATAACACCCCCCTTTGAGGGGTTCCACGTGTGACCGTTTTCTTTACTTCTGCTGTTCCCAGGGAGCCAATGATGCTTCTGGTGCTCAACATATTGTCGATCCAGAGAGTGGTCAGTGGGTCCAGTCCTACGGCCGCCATGGAGCAGTATATGGGTGCCAAATTAACATTGTTAAAGGCGCCTTCCTTAGCGGTACAAGGTGATTTGAATTTTGATGAAATGGCCCAGGAACAAACGCAAGAGGTTTAAGAAGGTTATAGTTTGAATATATTTTTGAAAAGGGTTCGCCACCTGTTCTGAAAATTTAATAAAAATAAAATATATTCAAGTTGTGTGAAATATTTCAATATTGGTGTCAAACGAAAGATTTCGAAACTATATGCCTTTCAACATGAAACGCTCCAATTTGCAGTCATAATTGCGTTTGCCATTACGATGATTGATGCTCTTGAACAGATATTGTGGAAGGCTGTACTATATCTTAAAGATTACTCTTTTACTCACAGCCAACTGTATGTATGTAGCTATGAGGAGAGTAAGGTCCGTCACTGACTTCAAAACTAAGTTGAATCCGCAGGTCTCTAACAATAAAAGATTAGATTTTGTCTTGCAGGCAGTTCTTTAAATAAATTTTGATTAGTAATCATAATCGTATTCGAATTTGTATTCGTATTCACTTTCACTTAACCAAATGGACTCTCCTACCTCCGTTTTTCTATTGCTTGCATTATCACAAGCGATTCGCGAACACTTTTACATACGCAAGACTTTCGCAAGCCTTCTTAAACTCTCTAATAAAAAAAAAAAAAAAAAAACACTGAAGAATCCACTAAATACTCACATCAAACTGTATGGCGTGAAATATTCACTCGATTTGCTTAGCATATAATTCAAATAGATGAAACGATCGTCGGGAAATTCACGCGCCCTACTGATCAACTTATTCAAATCTGGTATGAGGGATGCGCCCGTCTTCAACGAGGGCGCAGCTAATGAGCGCACTGGTTTGACTTCGTGCATGCTCGTGCGTCGACTTGATTGCGATGCAATTGTTGCCTTTTTGCCCTTTAACGGTGCATATCTTATTTCCATTTCTTTTGCATGCGAACGGAACTTTTCCATCTTTGCGCGATTCGCCATTATTTGGGTGATGGCTTATGTGGCTTCCGCCGTTGCTAATAATTGCTAGATGTATGTATTTTTCTCTTGTAAAAATTTATAGAGAAAATCTTTTATTTTCGTAAACTTCAACCGATTTAATTGAGAAAATGTTTTAAAAATGAAAAAAATCAATGCTGCCGTTTTGCTCGTTGTTACGACTACTTTGAACATTTTTTATTTAGAAATTGTTATGGCAACAACGTTGTCGTTGTCAGTTACCAACGAGTCGTTGAGGGCCACCTGTTGATTGTTATGTTTGAAAAAGCTGTTTGTTTATGTTTTTTGTTTATATATTTTTGTTTATATCTAGTACTTCTAAGTCCTCAGGAAATTTCTATAGCAACGGAATATATTTTTTAATTTTATTTTGAATTTTTTATGCGACATTCGTTGGGAGCGTGTTTAGGAAGCATTTTGGGCAGTGTTGCCAGCATGATTTACCTTAGCTTTGGAAAAGTTTCTCGACAAGCACAAAACATGAAATATAAGTAATTGCTTACTCATATCTATTAAGATGCTGGAGTCGAATAAGCTTTTTAATGAGTGAAAGGGCAATCTTTTTAAAATAAACTTGGCCTAGAAACAAGCCCAAAGCAGGATGGCAGACCGATTGCGTGTTGAGTGTACATAAATTCCTTAACAAAGCTAGAGTATCGTTAATTCTAAGCCGTGACTTTCTGCTGGCAAATCAATATTCCCGCGAATAGGTAAAATCCGGCGGAAGCGATGTCAAAAAACTTTGGTGTTCGGCTCTCAATCTTTGCTTTTAAAAGCCTCCTAATCATAAGGAAGGTTTGGCAGGAGTAGAAGAAATGTTTAAAGCGCTATACATCATATTCACAGCAAAAAAGTAATCTGAGACGATCACAGTTTCGAGAGTTTTTACCACGAAGTGACCAGTCCGTTTTTTCAGCAATACCATCTGCCATTTATGATAGGGTGCAACAGAAGTTCAGCGTACTTGTAGCCCCTATGAATAATCATGGAATGAGAAGTGGCAAAAAAACGAGTACTAGAATTACCACAATCATCGAAGCCGTTGGATCCTATCACTCTATCTGTCTTTTAGATACCATGGAAAAACTTTTACTACTTTCTGCTAAGTTGAGCCATTTCACTGAGAACGGATTGTCACAAAACCAACTTGCGCTAAACCTAGTGGTATCATCGACTCGGAAAAATTATAA